ATGTTTTGTGTGGTTTTTTCTAAGTCTTTAATATGTAGAGAAAGAAAGGTGTGGGTTTTTACTTGCACATTGAAGAGTAGAGTGTGGATTGAGTGGTATCTAAGTGTGGGCATTCTCATACCTCATGTTCTTAGAATAGAGGTAAGAATGTTGGTGCATATGCCGAGCACACGAAGCATACACACACGCTTGCACGTGCGTGTGTCAGGGTCCAAGGGCACTTGATGGCACACTTTGCACTTCGCACTTCGCAACTCGCATAGGCGCATGAGATGCCCCTCACCTGAGCACGTGTGTGGGTTAGGCTCGAGGTTCGATAATTTTTTACATGTTGCGGCACATGTGGGACATCCAACGGTCACTAGCTGTTAAAGACATGTAGGCTTGTAACCAATCATAGTTGTCAAGATTGAGGGCAGTGTATGTAATAGTTGATTGTTTGTGGTGCATGTAACCTCTTCAACAGTAATATGCAGCCTCTTAGAGCTCTATATGATGGTTTTTTTTCCCATTCGAAAAGCACACAATGTACACCATTCCTTAAAAGAATGTCTAGAGAGCTTTGACACTCATTCCTGTCTCTCTACTCATTTTTCGCACTCTCTAAAATCATGTCTAGAGAATCTTATTTTCTTAGGGAGAGAAAACTTGATTTAGAGAGTGAGAGTGAGAAAAATGAGTATAGAGAGAAAGAAGGATTGGTGTCAAAGCTCTCAAGAAATTCGTATAGATAATGATGCACATATTGTGCTTTTTTAATGGAAAAAAAGACCCCTTATATATAAAGCTCTAAGAGGTTGTGTATTTACTGTTGAAGTGGTTACATGCACCACCACAATCAATTGTTACATGCACTGACCTTAATCTTGACGACTGTGATTGGTTTCAAGCCTCCATGTTTTCAACAACTAGTGACTGTTGGATGTCTCACATGCGCCATTTGTAAATGTTATCTAGCTCGACTTGCACACGTGCTCGGGCGAGGGGTACCTCATGTGTTGATGCGAGCATGTAAAGTGCAACGTGTGTCTGGCATATGCGCGTGTGCATATTGCAAGCTTCACGTGCTCCGTACATGCACGAACATTTTCACCTTTATTGTAAGAACATAAGGTATGAGAATTTCCACACTTAAATACTACTCAATTCACACTCTCCGTTTCATATGGCACTTGAAACCCACACATTTTTCTCTCTTACCAATTAAAAACTTAGTAAAACCAACACAAAAAATAGTGTTATTGTTAATTACACAAGTATTTTTACAAAACCAAAAATACTAACTCAAGATTGTCCCTTGATGACACACCCCTAGAGCACTGCCCGTTGACTTTGAGATGACAAAGACATCAAGCGAACCCATCACAAGAAGGTTTTACGTTTTTTTAAGATAAGAAATCTTTACTTCGATGCACTAGATTGATCCACATGACCTGCAAACTCACCACCATCCCGTTTTGGACTTTGTGATCCCCAAAGTGCCATGTTACCTACCACATTTGGGCCCCCAACTGTCCATCTTCCCATGTGGATGACCCAAATCCTAACAACTCCTTCACCAACACGAAGCCGGTTGCTCGCCCACCCAGGTATGCTTATTTTACAGCTGGCTCCAACCCAGCACTTAAACTCTACCTATTGCATTAACTCCTCTGGCCCCTTACACAAATGGCCATGTTTTTGAGCCTATCAACTGTCCACTTGGAGATCCAAGATACAATTGATGCAAATAAAAATTAGAAAATTCAACTTTTAAATTTTTACTCTTTGCTTTTATTTTATTGGTTAGGATATTTTTTTTCATATGGGATATAGACGATGGTGGGCATTGAAATCTTTTTGTTTTTTTCTTTTTGGGGTGTGAGTTGTTTTATGGTTAGGATTAGCAATTGGGTGTTTTGGGATATACTTAGTTTTAATAACGTTATATAAGGGATTAGGTGGTTGGGTTTTTAGGACATATGGTACACTTTTTTAATGTGAGATTGAGGGAGAGATTGGGTAGAGAGAGGCATGGGGGAAGAGAGTATTTCGTGGTTTTATTTTTATTTTTCTCTATTAGTTCTCTGTGTTTGCATGTAAAAGGGAAAGTCGTCCCTCTTGAAAGAAGGTTATTAGAGAATAAAATCAAGTGATTTGATCTTGTAAAAATATCTTGGGGTGGACTCCCTTGAAGACCCAGATAGAGGGTGTATTCTCTCAACTAATTATTATTTATTTATTTATTTATTATTTTCTCACTACATCAGTTGGTGTTAGAGCTAGGTTCATCAGTTGGTATTAGGCCTTGAAATCAGTCTCTTCCTTCTCAATATCCCCTTCAATCACCATTTTCACTAGATTAATCCTTACAAATCAGTCTCTTCCTTCTCAAACAATCAACATATTCTGATGCTTTCAAGGCGTGATTTTCGTCAGAAAACTTGGAAAAGCGAGAAAAGATGTAGAGAGAGGGGAATTGTAGAGAGCAAGAAGGAATTAACACATTGAAGGTTGATTAACTCTCATCTCTCTCTAAAATGGTTGATCGATGAGTGAGTGCCTTATTTTGATGAATGATGTGCTTTCTTCTTAAACAGAGGTTAATTCATGACATTGGATCATAGTTATCGGAATCCACTGACCTTGCGTTTCCGGTTCTGAAACCCCTTTCCGCGTTTCTGTTAAGGAATCTCCATAGAAACCGTTTTTCGAAACCAAGGAAACTCGATTCTTTAATTTTGGAATCTCGATTCGACACATCTTTAGAAACCATTTATCGGAACTAAGGAAGCTCGATTCTTTAATTTCGGAATTTCAGTCCAATACATCTTTAGAAACTTGAACCCATTAATTGTGGGTAGACGTTTTCAAATATATCGAATCTAGATTCTAGCCAAGATTAAATCTTGATTCCACGTCGATTGGAGTATAAATCTTCCTTTGAATGCTTCTAGTGGTTGCAGGTGTCATTGTTTTACTTGTGCCACCATGGATGGCCTTTACTTTAAATTTAAAATATAACTGATATATACAACACATAATTAAAAATAAAACCATGGCATAGACATAATTTTATTTTGTCTTTATAATAATGAAGTCAATCAGAATTTAGAAATACTTGTCTTTTGAATATGTTGACCGTAAGTTCAGTAGTCAACACAATCACTTTAAAATAGGAAACCTTCTAATAAGAGACATCCAATATAGGTACTAAAGTTGATGAGGCTCAAGATGTGCATGTGGCTTCCTTCTCCATAAAAATGAAATCTCGATTCCTAGTAGGGGTTGTCAAGCGCATTCCATAGTCCATATTATTTTAAATCTCGATCTCAAACTGGCATGGATCTTTGATCCATATACTTCAGAAACTTGATTCCAAATATGTTAGAATCACAATTCGAAACAGCAACATATCTATGTTTCACATATGTCAGGAACTCGATTCAATTGATTGCGAAAACTCGATACCGCATATTAATGAATCTTGACTCTTGGAGTGTCTGTTCCAGGGGGGATGGAAATCTCGATTCCAGTGTTTCACAAAGCGCTGGGCTCCCAGGCGAGTGCCCAGAACCCGGGCGAGCCCAGTAGAAAGAAAAAAGTCTCTGTAGTCTAACAGTATAAGTATAATTGTGTAACAGTATAAGTAGAATTAGGGATTTGGCCTCCTAGGCTTGGGTGATGAGCCTAGGCCATCTGTACTGACTCGGTGGCCGCCCAGGCAATGGGCGGTCCGCTTTTTAAATCACTGTTCGATTCCAGGGAGGACGGAATCTCGATTCCATATATGGGATGAAACTTGGATCTATTTCGGTTGAAACACATTTCTCAAAAACTAGGAATCTCGTCCGTAGTCATTCCTATTGTACGGATAACGAATCCTAAGACATGCAACAACTATGCTTTGGTTCCACTTTCTCTGATCTTTCTCTCTCCAAAATGGTTTATTCAGCATAGAGAAAACTTTATTGTGGCGACATGGTTTACTTCTAAAGCAGAGGTGGATTAGGGTTAGGAGAGATGGTAAGGCCAACTTACGAAAGGAGAGTTTTAGGACGTCTCTTAGAGAGAGACATGGTAAAGATGCGTAGGGGTTGGGTTCGTGGAGAGAGAGGGAGGAACCACATCCCTTGGGTGTGGAAGACGTAAAAATTGAATCTCACAAATTCAATTCAGAATTGAATTTTACCAGATTCGAATAAGTATGGCCAATCTTGATTTTAGGGGATAGTATTTTGGTCAAGCAAACAAGTCATGGAGCCTTTTAACATATTTTAAGATCAAAATGACTAAAAATTCCATAATATCCAGAAACATTATGATGTCGAGGGGTTGATGAATATACCCTAAAGTAAATATTTCAATCTTGAGATCCCCACTCCATCTTCTTTAACCCAAGGGGGGGGGGATAAAAAAGGAATAAAAAACAAGCAAAACCAACAACTACACTTAGGCTCACAAGGTGACGGTTTCTACATTTACCTGAATCCCTTCATTGCTGTACAAAAGCTCTCAAGTGGCTTTCGTTAAATTCTGTGTACAATTCACTCAGTACTCATCCAATTTGGCTATACAATACAAGTTAACTTTTCCCCAAAAGAAAAAAAAAAACCCTCTCCTAGGCCTTACATTTATCAGGATCTTTCTGCTCGTAGAAATAAAGAATAAAATTGAAACAACTTTGTTCCTCAAAGGAGGGGGTTTATGAACATTTCTCTTGCATATGCTGCTGAAGGCTATTCTTCTCACTATCATGCTTTTAAAACATTCTTCACTAGTTTATTCGTATGTACAGATGACTATAACCTTTATATTACGGTGTGTAGCACCTTTATCATGGAGGCTTAGTTTGGAATTCTTTCTGTTCTTTTTTATTTGTAGAGAATGCAGAAAAATTCCATATCTTGTCTTGTAAACACATTAAGTGATTTACTATTATTGCTTAATTTGGCAATAATTTAGCTTTGCTTGTGTGATGGTAGTTGACACTTGATTGCCTTTCGTGATTTGCTTACCAGGTTCAAAGACTACCTAGTAGTGCCCAGAATGGAACCGGAGGTATGCTTTGGTTTTAGTTGTACAATTTCATGGACTGTGGCTACCAGATTGCAACATATAGACAATTATGTGAACATGTAATGGAGTGATAGTATTGTTTCTTTTGTGTTTTCTAGTTTTGCAGCATGTCACCAAGATTTCTCCCTCACTTCCTGAAGAATCAGTCTTAAAAGTTCAGTCTGGTACTCCTCCTCCATGGTTAGAAATACATGAACTCGACCTCAAAGTTGGAAAAGCAGAGGTTATGAACAACTCTGTGTCTATCCCGAATCAGATGCGCCCATCTCACAAGATAAGAAATCCCAAAAGAGTGGGAGCAGCATGGGCAGAAAAACGAAGGGCAGAGCTTGTGAAAGAGAAAAGTGGAGATGTTGTTAGTAGTTTTGATGCTGATTGGCTTCCTAATTTTGGAAGAGTTTGGCAATCAGGTTCACGTAAGGAATCCAGAAAAGAGTTTGAAAACGAAAGACACAAATTATTCAAGTTTGATAGCATAACGAAGGAATCTACTACCTTGCAGCCTTATGTTAGCAAAAGAATGGTGAGTACTGTTAGCTTTCATTCGTCGTGTCCATATCCACTGGAAAGACTACTAGTTGTATTTCTTGATTTTGGATGTTCATTCTATGTTTTAACTTGTATCAATTGTGTCAATTTTCTAATGCTTTCTGTGCATGCTTAGCTACTCTTGGAGTTTATTTTTCTGCTTCTCGAAGTTTGTTGGTATAATTCATGTCGTTTTGTTGGTATGAGGAGAGCCTCATTGGTCATTAGTATTGCATAGATAATAACATGGTGGATATGGGGTCTCTCACTAGTAGACATTTTTCATATTGATAAACATATGATTTAAGCATGTGGTGTTTTGATATGTGCTTCATTTTAATTACCAATCAAATAAATAAGAATAAGTATATAAATAGCTTCATACCATGGATTATCCTAAAAGTAATGTGGACAGGAAGCTCTGATTCATAATCAGATGTATTCACCTCCTACTCTGGATAGCACTTTTTAAAAGAAATTTTTCGTCGTTAACTTGGTATTAAAGTAAGATAATTACAAAGTACAAAAAATACTGTCCATGAAGGACATGTCAAGGCCAATTCCTGGCAGGATCAAAAAATGCTATAGGCACAAAAAGATACAATGCTAAAGTAAAAGAAAAGAAAAGAAAAGGTCTTCTATGGTGAGTCTTGCGATGATCCAAATATGTGTCCATGAGACCCGAATATACTTCCCTATGTCAAAAATCTCATAAAAGTAGCAGTGAGTCTCAAAGGGAGAGTGGCCTCGCATGAGACCCAAGAAATGAAATTTTTTGAGTCGCCCTCAACAACCAAGTCAGTGCTCCAAGATGGGTCGAAGGATTTGAGGCCTTCCAAAAGGGCTTGGGCTTCCAAAGTGGTGGAGTCCACATAGCTAATGGGAGAGGCATAGGAGAAAAGGTTGACGTCTGCATGATTCTTGAAAATACCACCAACGCTCGTTGGATCTGGATTGCCGAGAGAGCATCCGTCGAAATTGGATTTAGTTTTCATGGGGTCAGGAGGTTGCCAAAGGGAAGAGCATGGAACAGATCTGGGGCTGAGAAGCAGCGTTGAGTGCCAATTCAGCAGGAAATCAGTGGAGGAGATATGTTTAAAGTGGTTGTGCTTAGTAGCTCAGAAGATGACCGTGAACCTAATTGTCTCCTTGAGAGTGAGCCAATGTGAGGCCTGTCTTGGAAAATTCTTCGATTGCGTTCTAACCAAATGGACCAAGTTGTAGCAGCCACGAAAGCTTTCCAAAAGATAGCTCTAGCCTTAGGCCAGGGGAGAAACTGTGACAAAAGGAAGAGCTGACGAATGGATTCGGGAGTGACGTAAGACCATCCGAACGACTGCAGCAGATCATCCCAAAGGTGTGTGGGGAAGGAGCAATGAAGGAATCCCATCCTGGACACGCATGGGATAGTGGTTGGGAGTTTGTGTTCCTCGTCATTGAAGTTGATCAACTTTCGGCATTCATTTGGACAAAGCAACCCAATTGAAAACCTGTATTTTTTGGGGTATGAAAGACATCCAAGCTCAGTGCAGGATGGGGTGATGAGGATGATGAGGGGGTTCATGGTGATGTAATGAAGGATCCCGAGGAGGTAGGAGACTAGAGAATACGGTCGAGGCCCTCAGGCGGAGAGGAGTGGAGGATCGAAGAGAGTTTTAGAAAGGCTAGGAGCTCGTCATCCCTAAGGTCTCTACAGAAGTTAGGGTTCCACACCCTTGAGTGGCCCACCAGTAGTAAGTGGTCAGCAACCAAGGCCTCGGGAGTCTTGGTTAGACGGAAAAGCTTGATGTATCGGAAGCGAAATGAAGAGGCACCTTGCCAAAGGTGTTCCTAGAATTTGATTTTGTTGCGCATCCTAGGGTGAAATCGAGTGAGGGTTTTGAAATGGTGGAGGCAATGGCTAATGGATTTTCAGAAACCCCAGGACAAGTGGGTGGTCCTCATAGGGACAAACCAGTTGGAGTATTGGAGGTTGTATTTATGGGTGAGGACCCGATGCCATAGTTGGCCTCTTGAGTGGTTATTCGTCACAACCATTTACCTAATAGAGCTAGGTTGTTTTTTGGGAGGCTGCGGATCCCTAAGCCACCCAAGGTGCGAGGCATACAGACCCTACACTAGGAAATAATGTGGTGTTTTCTAGTTTCGATGTCGCCTGACCACAGGAAGTTGCGCATTAGTTGCTTGAGTCCCTGGGCCACTGAGGCCGGCATCTGGAAGAGGGGCATTTGATAGATGGGGACATTGGATAGGGTTGCTTTGAAGAGGGAGATCCTACCGAGGACAGGTATCTCCCCTTCCAGGTTACAAACTTGCGTTCGAATATGTTGATGATGTGGCTCCACAGACTCTTTTCGGGTTTTCCGTGTCATAAAGGCAAGCCTTGGTAACCGGACGAAAGGGAGTCCATTTCGCAACCCAGTCTATCCGCGAAAGCCTTGGTGGGCTCGTGCTCAAGCGTTATGCCAATCATCTTGGACTTGGTAAGGTTGACTTTGAAACTTGTGGCAAAATGGAAACACTTGAGGAAAAAAAGTAGCATATCCACTTGTTGGGTGGAAGCATCATAGAAGACTAATGTGTCATCGGCATATTGGAGGTGGGTGATGGTGGGGTCAAGCCTGTTGCTCTTGAAGACCTCGAGCAAGTCTTGTTGATACAATCTCGAAATTGATTTATTGAAAACTATCGCAACTATGGCAAAAAGGAAGGGGGATAAGGGATCTTCTTGCTAAAGCCCCCTGGAAGACGGGAAGAAGTTCCAGGGAGAGCCGTTGATGAGGATTGGGAAGTGGGGTATCTTATACAACCATTGATCCACGTTTTCCAACGATTGTCGAAACCCATTCTAAGAAGGGCCCAATCCACATGATCATAGGCCTTCTCTCAGTCCAACTTGACTATGACACCTGGAATTTTGGAGGTTATTCTGGAATGGATGCACTTATGCACCACTAGAGCCCCATCTAGGATTTGGCAGTCTTTGACAAAGGCAGTTTGGTGGGGTGAGATAACCCAATTTAGGACAACCTTGAGCCTGGATGCCAGAACCTTGGATAGGATCTTGTAGGAGCTATTGATTAGACTAATGGGTCAGAAATATTTGAGGTCTTCTGCTCCCTCGTTCTTGGTGATGAGAGCAATGAAAGAAGCATTCTTACCTTTGTGAATAAGCCCACGATTCTCGAACTCAGAGTAAAAGGAAAGCATATCAGCCCTGATGGAGGTCCAGAACCTTTTGAATAGGGCTATTGGGAAGTCGTCGGGACCTGGAGCACGATCCTGTCCGAGCTCGTTGATGGTAAGATTTCAACTTTGGTAAAGGGGCGCTCTAGTCAAATGGCCTGATTAGGGGGAATGGAGTTGAAGGAAAGGTTGTCCATGGAAGGGGGGGCTTTCACAGGAGCACTGAAGAGGTTAGAGAAGTATTCTATAATGGCCTGTTCTATGAGGTGTGGCTGGTTGAGGGTGGATTCCTGGTATTGGATTTGAGTTGTGGTGTTATCTCTTCATATATAGTTAACGATCCTATGGAAAAAGGTCGTGTTAAGATCATCGCTTTTCAACCATTTAACTCTCGACTAGTGAACGAAATTTCGGCTGCCTTGCCGCCTAGGCGATCATTTTTCCAAACCTCCTAGGTTTGGAGTAGGCGGTATCCTCTCTAGGCGGGTCCATCTAAGCACCTTCCTAGGCGGAGTAAAAGGCGAGTGCCTTGGCACCGCCTTGACTTCACCTTTATTTACGTAAATTAATTCCATGAGTAGCTATTTAATTTATTGGTGAACCAAAAAATAGTATTAATTCAATTTTAATTAATATATGGAAGGATTAGACTTTTTATGCCACTTGACGAAAAAGCTTTTTGCATGTAATAGTAACCGTGAGTAGCTATATTAGTTTATTGTTTAACCAAAAAATGGAAGGATTTACTTTTTTGCATGTGACAGTAACCATGAGTAGCTCTATTAATTTATTGTACTCTTTTTGTCAATTGTAAATCACTTTGATAAATGTCTTGAACTGCAACTTAGGTTGGAAAAAACAGGAATCATCCAAGACGCCTTTGTGTCTGGGCATTGCCTTGGTGCCTAGGCCGCCCAGACCTCTGACTGTCTAGGTGGCCACATCCGCCTTCTTGAACATTTCTCTCGACCGTTGAGCCCAGTGAATCTCCTCTTTCCTCAAAGTGTCGCGGAAGTCCAATTTGAACTCGAAGCGAAGGAGCGATTCATTGGGTTGAGCCTCTTCCGTGAGGTCGAGCTGATGGATGGAGTTAAGGAGTTATTTTTTTGGGTGTGGAATTGACCCAGAAGTTTTCTACTCCAAGTTCTGAGGGAAAGTTTAAGGAGATGGAGTTTTCTTTGAAGGCGGCAGTCCGCTCATCCCTGTACATTGTGGGAGTAGGAAGACCAGCAGGAGGGGATGAGGGAAGTGAGGCTTGGTTCCTCAAGCCACGACATTTCGAAACATAAAGGTTTTGGGCCACCATTGGCCGGTAAGGTATCAAGTAAAAGGGGTTGTGATCTGAGGTGGTTTTGGGGGGGGGCTAGAAAGTGGGTCCCTGGAGATGAAGAGTCCCATAGGAGGCTACAGAGAAAGCGGTCCCATTTAGAGAAAGAAGGGGAGGAGGCAGAGTGGTTAGACTCGATATGGATGGCTCCTTGAAGGGGAATATCAATCAGGTCATGGTGGGCGATGAAGTCGGAGAAGGCCGTAATGGTAGGAGTGATCCTTGTTGAAACACTTCTCTCAAATGACCGCAACATGACATTGTAGTCCCATCCTAGGCAGCACTTGGACGGGGTTGGGAGGCAATATTGTGGAGCTTATTCCATAGATGGGGCCTGTCGCTATCAAACTTGGGGCCATAGATGATCGAAAATTTCCACGGCAAATTATCAATGATCCTAGTGAGGGATACTGTAACAAAGAAGGGGCCCATAAAGGAGGAGGTGAGTCTATGGGACAATGGGTCCCATATGACCCAGATAC